ATATAATTAAAAGTAACCATATTATGTTTTCATTTCATGACAAAAAAATATGTGTTTGGTAATTTCAAATCTGGCGGACTCACTGATATTTTCTTATTTGAAAAAAAATACAGTTAAGACTTCGAACATACGGATTCATTTTTAGATTGGTGGACCACACAACAATGATACACAATTTGTTGTCTTTGCTGACGTGTTAACACCCATGTTTTGCATTTTCTCCGTTCAACCTTTATGACAAATATAACAAAAATATCAAAAAAAAGTAAATTAAATTGTAAGTCAGTAAACAATCAATAATCACCGTATTCCATCTTGATCTTTTCTGAATAAAAAAAAAAACCCAGAAAAATAAGATTTAACTGTATTTCATACTGTTTATTAAAATATATTTGATTTAGGGTTGATTACTTTTAGTTTGGTTAAAACTTAAATTCATTGAGACTAAAGCTTATGAATATGAACTTGCATGACTCTTAGACTACTTGTGCTTTTCAGAAAAGATTTGTAAATGACCAAATAAGTTTTAATATCCAACTTCATCTATTGTTTGTCCAAACAATACAAACGAAGATGTAATTTACACCTGTAAAAAAATATGCATGTGTTAATTATATCCAATCATACAATAAAACTACTTAATTAATTTTTATTATTTGTTCGGGTTTTTTTGTTAATTATAGATTTGCTGTTGGCTAAAAAATTTTATAATCAAATGCTATTTCTTTTACAGAGAAAGAATACGTGTCTATGCTTTCAAACTTAACACATGTTTCACTGCTGCTAGTCTTAATAACATGTATCAAAGATATACAAAAGAGACTTTTGTGGGAGGAGAAAAAGTTTTAAAGAAGTTCTTTAATATTACAAAATACAATGTATTCATAAGTAACCCAAAGCAATCATGATTACTTTAAAGAAAAGTAATCTAATTCAATCGATTACATTTGAATAAAGGTGTAATTGTAATGCATTAAATTACCAAAGTAATTGTAATTTAATCGTTACATTTGAAAGTAATCAACCATCCCTGATTGACGAGTTATGTCAATCAGTTTTTCTTAGATCTGATTGTTTAGATTATACATGCTGTCCATTTTTCTCTCTTTCTGTTATTATTTTCATGATAATAAGCTAAAATCATCGAAATTCTCTTAAATAAGTGACAGTACATTGCCAATTACTCGAAAATGGTTTGTTCAATTAAAAAAAAAAAACAATCGAAACAAGAGGAGATAAACAGGTCCACTACATTGCCAATCATGATAATGTGCACTACATTAATCTAAATAATCGACATGTTATTAATAAATTCAACAGACATACAGTTTACATGAAACTTGTAAAGACTTACATAACATGCATAAGGAGCGACTTCTGACGATTATTTAGCAGCCATAAAATATCTACATATGTAAACTAGTAGGTAAGTAATAAACAAAGCAAAAGGCTCTCAAGAGTGTGTCGCTCACCTAGGTCGAAGTGCATCTCCAAAATGGACTCTATTCAAAATTATGGACTTGCCATGTCTGGTCTTTATTTTTGTTTATTGTTTTCTGTTCTGTATCGATCTGATGAATTAATTAGGTATAAGAAGATGTGGTATGAGTGCCAATGAGACAACTCTCCTTACAAGTCTCAATTTGTAAAAGTAAACCATTATAGGTCAAAGTACAGTCTTCAACACGGAGCCTTGGCTCACACCGAACAGCAAGCTATAAAGGGTCCCACAAATGACTAGTGTAAAACCATTCAAACAGGAAAATCAACGGTCTAATCTATATAAAAAAACGAGAAACGAAAAAGACTTATGAACCACATCAACAAACGACAACCACTGAACATCAGGTTTCTGACTTAGCCCATTTTTAAATGATTTTTATAGTTTGTTCTTCTGTTAAATTGTTATATCACTGTTCCATGTTAGAGAACGGCTAGTGCTTTCAAACAGGTTTAACCCCGCTACATGTTGTACATTCTGTATGAGCCTGTACCAAGTCTGAAGCCTGTAGTGTTGTAGTTGTCGTTATCTTTACAGCATTGCATTTGTTTTTACAAATATAAACTTCAAAAGTGTGTTGATTAATATCATATAAACTATTTTAAAAAAAGAATGGTCATCATCATGAGGGTTGATTTATATTTGTCAAAACAAACCAAAAAGTACCTCGATATCACTACAAGAGAGACATAAAAAGGAAAGTCTGATGAGGACAGTGACTATACTTTCTAAAAAAAGTCATCCTCGTCTAGTTTTCAGTTTGTATATGAATTGCATAAAATTTTCATGAATCAATTTAAAACAGCTTCTACAAAATTAGTTATAACTGTTGTTCGAATCTGACTTTAAAATCATTAACTTTGCAATTTAAACACATTTTAACAAGGTTATCTAACACAATTTGTTTACATTCATTTGCACAATTATTTTGCTGATGGCGTGTACAAAACAATTGAATGTATGTGATGTTCAGCGATGAGTGGTGACGAAAAGACCAAGCCTTAATTGACAAGTGATTATTTACGACAGTAAAAAAATACAAGATAATTATGCTATAGCTATTTATGTCCATTTTCCGGGCTAGAATTCATTCAATTTAGATTAATGTCTCCAAATAAATGTAGCGGATTCTGGTCAAATAGTGAAGGTTACTTTTATTTGTTTGGTTTAACGCAAATGTATATATAACTAATCCCTTTTCAACTCAAAAACACAAAACGAAAACATTGTAATTCGCTTTTTGTTTTGAATTAAAGAATGGAACAATAAAAAAGAATAAAAAAACATCCCGCATGAAATTAGTGGCAAACCAATAATGCTGTCAGAATAATTACCTTCATCTTTTTTTTGTTTACTCATTTTGTTGTCGTTGCTCTTCTGCAGATTAGGTTGCAAGTAAGTTATGAATTTCTTCCTTTTCCTGGTCGATATCGGAAGTCATAAATCGGAGTTCCCCTATTTGGTTTAAATAGATGTTACGATTACCTTTCAACATTTAAATACTTTAAATAAACATAACAACGAACAGAAAATTAACTTTATTTACTATTAGAATGGGTGTTGTTTCTACACATAATACAAGATTTTTATCCGGATGTAGGAATCATGATTTTGTATTATTATTTTTATGGCTTAAGTTTATTAGTTTAATTCTACCATAAAAAACGTAACTTATGCTGTAGAAAAAAAACAAAACATTATATTGTACATGATACACCTTATATAACATGGGCAAAATATCTGTTTTTATCTTCACTATAAGATCTTCATTTTTAACATCAGCGTGATCAGTAAATAAATCAAAATATGCATTTTCAGGCTCCTTTTTTAACAAATTTAACGTTGCATACTAAACTCACTTGCTAAAGTCAATAACACACAAAGATATTTTTTTTAAAGAATGCCCTAAATGTTGCAATAAAACAATTAGTATTCATGAAAATGGTTAATGAAAATAACCCTATTATCTGCTGTTGGTTATATATAAGCAGATGCTTGAACTAGGATGTAATCAGTACGTATACTCTATCAACTGCTAGAATATTGACGTTTTAGACATTTTTAAGTCTTCCAGAAGTATATATGATACCGTTAAACATTTACATGTATTTTAGAGCAAATACTGCTTTTGAAAACATTTATTTTCTCCCAATGAAACTGACCCCTGGAATATCTTCATCCTCCTCATAAAACAAAAAACATTGGGCTTTCAAAATCTACATCATGCCATCGATATTGATCGTGTTCATACAATAAATGCGTTGCTCGTTGTTTCTTTGGTGATCTGGCTATTTATATCCTCAATGTTTAAAATTAAGGCATTGCAATGATTTGCACCAACTCTCACTCCTTGATGCTACTTCATCAGTGATACTCAAGTAGTGGTGATGGGTTTTATCTTTTAAACAATATTGAAACGAAGAAATGTTAAATGAACAAAGGATTAAAAAAACCCACATAAAACAGTCCATTTCTATCAATTGAATGTGATTAAAGTATAGATATTAATTATTTATTAAATATGTGTTACGTAAGCAGATCTTTTAACTATACACATGAAAAAGAAATCAATAAAAAAAATAGTCTATATGCAACCCTATGAAAATCTTCTTTGAAAGTTCTTTCCTATGGTGTAAAAATAATGAATGATTCATTTTAATTATTATCGAATGTTTAAATTGAAGAGTTATTACATTTGTATGTCAGACCCCACAAATATGTATGTGTGTTTCCTGCCTCCTGATCGAGGACCCTTCAAAAATTTATTGTTTTTCCAATAAATTTGTTCAGAGTATAAGTTTAAAGTGCCTTCATATTTGATGTTATTTTGCAATTTTTTATTGTTGAAGTTAGCCGGAGTGCCCTGAGATAACAGCCGACCTTTGGCAGGAAAACTAGCAGTCCTGGGCATGTTGTGGTGACAACAAAATACGAACATGCCTAATTATATCTTGTAAAAAAAGAACATGGGATATTTGCACAAACAAAAGACCTTATCACGTTTTTTCAAAAAATAAAAGTATAAAGTTTTTCATATATATTCGTTTTCGTAAAATTTTATTTTAATTCTATAATTTTGAATTTTACGGGATATGATCTTAAATTTTTTTTATGTTCATATGATTTATTGTTCTATGTGTTTATGGTGTGTGACCAATTTATTCTAGTTCTTAATTATCTTGTTGCTGTTTTGGTATAATTGTGAAACCAATGTTATGGTGACCAAGAGGACCAATCTATCCTTCCTATATATTTTACATTTAGGACACAATAAAGAAAGTAACTATGCCTGAGTATCGTGTGAGCTATACTGATACTGCAATATTTTAATAAAATTTAGTTAAAAATATCATCTTTCTAAATTAAGTAATTTAAGTTAGGAAATGTATACATGTAAACAAATGAAATTTACATACACAAACATGCGTAGTACAAACTTGACAGACAGGTTTGCCAACTCATCGTCCGTTTCCCTAAACATTTCCTACCTCGTGTTATATACATATCATAGTAGTTAAAACTTATAGAATATACTGAAGGCAATTGATAGAGAAAAAAAAAAGAAAAAAAAAACTTAAATAACTGTGTCTGGAATCCTTATCGTTATCGTTTCGAGGAATATCAGAATTTAGGGAAAAACATAATTAGTAAGTTGTATTGTACTATTTTTTTTGTGGCTTGTTTTATGTAACTGTGTATCGAAACTCCAAGTGAGTTAGTTTAAACAATATTTATTTAGAGAAATAATCACATAACAATATATTCCACTTTTATGAAATAGATGTTTAGGATTCACAAACGAGCGAAGTTAATTTGATATGATGGGGAAATTATCATAACAAGATGCAATGTGCGCAAAAAACTAATTTTTTTTTGGTATACTTTTCATTTCTGTAATATTCTTCACATAAGCCTTTTTAAATTACATAATATGCTAATTTAATATAAATGTAACTGCCTGCTACCGGTTTGTTAAGAGGACTTGCATTACAATTGAATGTCTCCCTATTTCTTTATTTCTGAATACATATGTTTGCTTATGATTTTCGTTGAAGATTAAAGCAACTGAATGTTGCCTCTTTAAATTCATTGTTTTGTGGTTTTGATTATATTTGTTCCGATTTAGTGAAATCAAACGAGAACAAATCTCTGGTAAAACTTTGATAGTTCTCTTAGTTTTTTGATAACCCTGGGATGCGCAGGTTTTTATTGTGAGTTTGGAATACATATGGTATCGATAAGGGGGTTGTGCGCACATAAATCCGGTCTTACCCACCTCATTCTCTGCCTACGGCAATCTGAACCAGGTGATGTCCATGTAATGTTGTGTGTACGTCCATTTTGTCAAAAGGATCGGTTGTCTGTATTTTGTTTCGACCGTTGTGATAGTTTTCGATTATGTTTAAAGATTCTAATTTTCAAAAATTTCAATGTCAAACCATGAGGCAATTTAGGTATATAGATTTACGAAAAAACAAATGTACATGTCAAAGACCATACAGTGCCTTATACCATACACATTCTCGTCCTTTTGTTGCCGGTGGATATATGTCTTATTTACAATCCTAATTACATTTCCTCACTTTTATATATCAATATTGCAATTAGTCGATTGATTGATTGATTGGTGTTACTCCGCGTGAATGCAAGAAAAGCTATATTGCGGCGATATTTTTGTGCTGTTAATATTATAGAATAGAGTTAAACTATGAATTCTTGAAAATGCATATTTCAAGAATTATTCGACAGTGAAACAACACTAGATTATATTTGACTTACGAATAGTCTTGTAAGAAAGATTTCAGTGGTATTGAATATGAATTATTCTTATGTTAATTGAAACAACATTACTTGTTCAGAATAATGTATAATATTATGCTCCATAACCTTGGGAATAATAATCCTGATGGAATATTGTTGTACTACAAAAATGTAGTCCGATTAAAGATATCGGGTCATGTCTGTTAAACTGTTAAACTGTTTCATATTGCCTAACAACAGAAATCGCCCAAAATAATGGACATTGCTGCTATCGTAATATATATATTTTTTGATATTATTATTCATTTTTATTTTATCTGACTTCATCTGACGTTGATTAACTGAGAAGGGTAAAACTTGGAAAGAGAGTAATATTTACATATGGGAATAGGGTTGATTTCGTATCAATATTGATGATTGTCTCTCAGTTTTTCCTATAAATCTAACGGTTGACTGGTCATGTGGTATGTAAATATTGTCACCTGATCTGCTGCCGTTCCTACAGTAAAACCTTTGCTTAAGTGCAGCGTCCGTGTGGCTGTACGGGATGTATACATTCACAGCCACGTCCAATCGGAATGGAAGTTAAATCCGATGCCCGTTATAGACTGACATGCTCTGTGTACGACAAACACCCCTTGCAACAAGTCCTTAAGAGTCCTTAGGTGGCCTTTTACAATTCTAAATCCAACACCCAGTGACATGCAGTTCAAATTTCCCTGCCTCCTTTGTATAACCTACTTATTGTTAATAATTCTTAATATGTTCCAGTCCTGAATGTGCTTGAAACTATTGCTTTGGATGTCAAGCAAGCAACAATAAATCAATCAATTAATCAACCAATCAATCAAAAAGTTGTATTGTTTGAGGCAGTCCCGGTAATGGGAAGTCGAAAATGTAAAAAAAAATGAATGTACAAAGTCTTACTGATTTGTTTTAAAGAAAGCTCTTTCGCAGTCAAAATCTGGTACAACATTAATACTTTTGTTACAAATTACAATTCAATCTTGAGCATGGTATATTTTTCCTATTTATAACAATATTTATAGACGTACATTAATCTAAAATGAATTTATAAATTATATATCACATTTCAATTCGACAACTTGCCAACATTTATTTCCTGATTTGTCTTTTTATCTTTCACACTTATTTACTCGTGTTAAAATGTCTGATCTTCGTCTGAATTTTCTGTCCGTCGACTTTCCAGCAGTAAACTTCACGTGTCCAGGGAATGCATTGATTGTGATATAAATACATATTTGGCTAGAAAGTTGAAATGTATTTGGGAAAATGATGACTAACAAGAGCAGCAACTGTTCTATTGAGATAAGCATCATTGTACTGGATAATATAAAAGACACTGTATAACATACAAATTATATCATTATTTCAGACTGTATAATCTGTGATAGCAATGGTGAGAAATATATTGAATTTCTGCTGTCTTTCTGTCATCATCCTGTTGGCATCACATTATTCCTGTTGTAAGTTTCATTATTTGACGTTCGACGTATACAGTAAAATATTAATTTTATTAGTATTTTTTCTAACCTTATTGTTTCTACATTGTTATACGAAACTTGATGCTTCTCACAAATCAATTTTTCCATTATTTCAGTGAAGGCATATCTCACTTCTAACTTCATATTTATGTCAGTTAAATCTGTCAGTTATAGTAAAATGATAAGGATAAAGATTTAAGCAATTTATAAAGAGATGGAGAGAGAAGGAATGAAATAAATTGCGTAGTAGAAGTAGCGGGATATTGTTTCATTCATCAGGGGTTGTGATGTTTATAGAAATAGAGGAATACAAATATTATGTGTTTATAAAAATTTTTGTTTTACAGATTTTTAACGGTTGGCCGTGATGGGACTAGAATAATGTTACTTGATGTTACTTCACGGTTTAAACTATTTCATCGAATGATATGCATCACAGTCACGCTACTCTCTGAAATGAAAATAACACTTTATAAAAGTGCGTTCATGGCGCTATTCTTTTAATTTCTAATTTCCTGAATGTATAGTTTATGCAAATTTTAATTCCGTTTAAATCATTTAAATCGAAAAAATAGATTATATCGTGTTTAATAATAAGCGATAATATATAAAATAAGGAGACATTTTCAAGATTTTTCATAATATATGAAAAGCCGGGTGTATAATATAGTACTCAAACATGCATTTGTACTTGTAGACAAATATGACATGTAAACATACTTTTCTTCCTTCATTGCAAACCCGAATGTAATCGGCGAATGATATATAATTTGATTTTTGACAGCTGAACGTGTAGTATATTTTGACAGAAGAGGTCGACACAAAATGAAAATATTTAACACATGTTTAATAAATCTTACTCTGGACATGCATTTAGATATCTTTGCTCTGATATTTGACCAAAAGCATTTGAAGTATACCAAGTTTTACAAAAAGTGAATCAAAATGTCCTATAAACTTCCAACAAAATATACATAGTATTTATTGCCTTTTCAGACCACAAGCTCCACAAACCTGACTATCAATTTAATTTGGACCCTGCAGGAAATGCAATTGAAGGCTATGTTGATTCTGGAGTAAAAGAAGGATCAAAGGTTTTGGTTAAACGTTTTGAAGGCCACCAGTTCTTAGAAGACGGAGAGGTTGTGAAATACCTACAAGTAAAAGTTAGAACAGGAATTGCTACAGGGGTAATATTTACGTTTAATGAAAATTGTCAATCTATGTATTTATTTTAATACTTTTCTTAAAATGATTGTTTTTAAATTAAACAAAATTACTGTTTGGTTATGGAAGATTAATATCAGTGAAAATATTGATACAACACTCGGTTACAAATCTGGGGCAATTCACTTATAGAATGGTACAGTACCACTAAAGCTTACTTTTAAACCAACATTGGAAAGTTGATACATAGGACCAAAACAACACTGTCAAAAATAAATGAAAAATGACCACTTAAACCCGAAATATTTAGATGAAACTAAAAGAGTTTGTACTAAACCCTCTGAAAAAATTGAGAATTTGGTAACTTTTATTTATTAAAAAAAAAATTATCAAACAAGATTTAACTAATTTATGCCTTGAACAAACCAAAAGACAGCAATCGATTTATTCTAAATTAGATTGGATTCCTGAAAATATACTTGCAGGATGAAGAATACGTAGTAGAATACACTAACGCATTCAGGGTAGATGAGAAGGGTTATATCATAGTGAATAACACTGAAACATTCGACCACACACAGGCTATTGAGTTTTATGTAAGTATTATAATATGTCAATGAAAACAAATGTTAATCGATGCAGGTAAGGCAAGGTTAAGGTTGACTTGTACGACTTTGCCCCCAGCAGAGCTATAGAAAAACAGTACATTAACGGGTGTTACACGGACACTTTTTAGATGATACACGGACACTTTTTAGTTGTTACACGGACACTTTTTATGAATAGAATCACTCGTGCATGATCAGTGAGTTCATGGGCACTTTAAATTTCAATTAGATTTAAATTGTTTTGTTTCACCGACATATTTCCTGTCTTTTTAATAAAAAAATATTTACGTTGGCATCAATAACTTTTACGAACAATTCCAGTATATTACTATTCATATCAGTACACTAAGGGATTTGGGTGATATGGTTTTTTCCTAAACAAAATATTCTGATGATCCCCAATTTTATAAGAAAATATATATTTTGGTCAAGCAGATGACAAAATAATGTTCTAATTCCTGATTTTCTGAATACCGTATATAATAGTGCTAATTTCGAAAAAAAAAAATATTTTGGGTGATAGCGTTGAAAAAATAAATAATTTTCTTCGGCTCAGAAAAAAAATAACCCCCTTTTGCAGCTAAATGGTAGGTCCGTAAATGTATTTTTTTTCAATATATAGACATGAATAGTATTCTGGACAATGCTGAAAGTAAAGAAATACTGGTACCGACGTTTATATTTCAATAAAAAAGACAGGAAATATATACATAAAAAAATCCAACCAAATCAAAAGATAAAATCCCTATCAACTCACCAATGCACGATTGATTCTATAAATAAAAAATGAACGTGTAATACATAAGGCAGCAAATCTTGAAGAAAATCATTCAACTTATGTCACCAATTTTGGACGGTAAGCTGCGATTGGATCATATTGTGACACGTGTCTAATCCTGATCAACTCTATTAAAGACATATAAAAACTTATAAGCATGAAATTTAAAAAAAAAATTCAAAATATATGCCAATATATATTTAATAACAAGCCAAAATCCATTTTTTCATAACATTTCATTCACTTATAATGAAATAGGAAATTCATTCTTTTTATACATTTGTATTGTTAATGAATTCATATATATATTGAATTCATATATATTGAATTCACATATTTGGGAGCAAAGGTACGATTTTTATTATTTTTTAAGAGGGAATGGAATAGCACATCCTGCATTTTTTTTCAACAAAAAAAGGGATCAAGCTTGTTTATTTAAAAAAAAAAATACCAGCCCCCCCCCCCCCCCCCCCCCCTTTTCCGTTTTTCCCCAAATAAAAATCAAATGTTAGCTTGCTTACCTCTGAAAACTTTTTCATACATTACTTACTTGCGAAGTTGCATTTTAAATATCTCAAATGTGTACAAAATCATCTTTTTTCCTTGACATGGTTCTTTTTTTATAAAATTATTAGATTCTTGAATTTCTTCAGAAAATGCTGAAGGGAAGTTAAAAGAAAGTTTGTTTAAACTGTAACTTACATTAACTGGTATATGGCCATTTAAGTTTCTAATCTGTTTTAATTTTGCTACCTCTTCTAAATGCAAAATGTACTACTTCTTTCTTGAAACGTCGTACAAGTCAGATACAAAACAAAGGTAACAAAAAAAAACAGGTCGGAAACAAACTGCCGTATAGTTATTCTGCACTTGTAGTCAGGTCAAGGTCTTCGGCTATCGCCTCGATCCTTCACCTGACTACTCGGGCAGAAAAACTATCCGGCAACGGTTGTTACCGGCCTGTTTCTTTGTTACCTTTGTATTGTATCTAATACATAATTATATATATACAATAAAAAACAAATGTTAATCGATGCAGGAAAGGCAAGGTTAACGTTGACATATTTATATATATACAATGTAAAACAAATGTTAATCGATGCAGGAAAGGCAAGGTTACGGTTGACATATTTATATATATACAATGAAAAACAAATGTTAATCGATGCAGGAAAGGCAAGGTTAACGTTGACATATTTATATATATACAATGAAAAACAAATGTTACTCGATGCAGAAAAGGCAAGGTTAACGTTGACATATTTATATATATATACAATGAAAAACAAATGTTAATCGATGCAGGAAAGGCAAGGTTAACATTGACATATTTATATATATATAATGAAAATCAAATGTGAATCGTTGGAGGAAAGACAAGGTTAAGATTGACATATTTATATATATACAATGAAAAACAAATGTTAATCGATGCAGGAAAGGCAAGGTTAAGGTTGACATATTTATATATATACAATGTTAAACAAATGTTATTCAATGGAGGAAAGGCAATGTTAATGTTGACATATTTATATATATACAATGACAAACAAATGTTAATCGATGCAGGAAAGGCAAGGTTAAGGTTGACATATTTATATATATATATACAATGAAAAACAAATGTTAATCGATGGAGGAAAGGCAAGGTTAAAGTTGGCATATTTATATATTTTTACAATGAAAAACAAACGTTAATCGATGCAGGAAAGGCACTGTTAAGGTTGACATATTTACATATATAAAATGAAAAACAAATGTTTATTGATGCAGGAAAGGCAAGGTTGAGATTGACATATTTATATATATGCAATGAAAAAAAGATGCTTGAAGACAGATGTGCGCCAAACAAAATCAAATTCAAACCTGTTTTAACATTAGTAGGTTACTTTTCATGATAATAAATTATAACAAAAAGCAAGAGATAAAACAACATACATGTTTAGTTGTAAACGTCCAGAAACCATGCATATTGGCGGTATTTATTTATTTATATTAAAAAAGGAGATGTGGTATGATTATCAATGAGACAACTATTCACCAGAGACGAAATGACGTATATATTATCAACTACAATTAGCAAAACGTATACTGCACAAAATGAAAACAATTACAACGAGAAAACAAACGGACTGAAATATTTACAAAACAACAAACGAAAAACAAATATGATACAGGGCAACGATCGACAACCACTGAGTTGCAAGCTCCTAACATGGGACAGACACATACAGAATGTAGCGGGGTTAAATATCTTTGCGGCCGCCGAAACCTCCCTTAACATGTGACATTTTGTTTCTTTATCTTTATTGGTTTTTTACTACATGTAAATGATATGTATAGTCGTATTCCTTATCCATCATTTAAAAAAGTAAGTAGCTGCTAAAAGAGAAAACAATGTAATAATTTAACTTTGTATTTTATTTAGGTTGTCATGTTCAGACTTGGTGATGTAGTTTCTAATCCAGTACCGTTTATTGTTAGTGTCCTTTAGACATTAAAACCATTCTTAAATCATAATATTTATTTTAATGAAAAACATTATGAACTAAACATTGGTTTGTTACCAATATTCTGTCATTGGTATTCATTCATCCCTTTCAGTTTACAAACACACAAGTAATTCACACATTTACTTAGATATTTTGCAGGTAATATTATATCCTATATAATTGAATTTTTTTTTTTTCATTTTTGTATGTTTTTCTGTTTGTCATGGACTAGTCTAACCAAAATATAGTTCATGGAAAATACTTATTCTTGTCATTGCTACTCAAATGATATAACGATAGCAAATGTAGGCACTAAGAAACATATAAAAAACAAGATGTGGTATGAATACCAGTAAGACAACTCTTCACAAGAGACCAAATGACACAGAAATAACTAACAATTCTAGGTCACTGTACTGCCTTCAAAAACAATGAGCAAAGACCATACTGCATAGTCAGTTATAAAAGTCCCCGAAATGACAAATTTAAAACAGAGTTCTTTAAAAACTTATGACAGTGTTTTTCCACTTAAATATTTACGTTCAATAGATTTTCATACCGTGTTATTGTACATTACAAAATGCTCCCATAACACAATGGAACCTGATAATTCTCATGTCTTGCAATTAAATGTTTGTGATGAGCGACTGACAAATTGTCTTTATAACAAAAGGATATATTATCGACGTTGTCATACACATGTATATGTTAGTAAACTTATACGGTCTACCTTATGTGTATTGTCTTGACAAGCGAAGTTGTAAACTTGCTCCTGCAATCACGTATTAACGATTACTGGAAGAATTATTGATGGGTGTTTTGTTCTTATCTATGCTGTGAGTGTATGATTTATAATGTGGAGAAAAAAATCATTATTATAACAAACATGACAAAAGAAAAGAAAAAGGGACAAGGCATTTCATCATGTTAACTGTTTCAGCTTTGAAAACAAAAACATTACAAATGAGTTAAAAGTAGAACCGGGAACGCATTGGAATCATCACTTTATGGAGGAATATTTTACTATAATAAATATATATTATAATATATCATACCAGTTGCTACTTCTTCTTGTCGTAGAATCAAAACAGATAGTAGGTAGGGAAGCAGGAATCATAGCGTCAAAATATAACTTACCTTACTTATATTTTAATGCTATGATTCCTGCCTCCCTACTTACTTATATTTTGATGCTATGATTCCTGCCTACGAACGTACCTTATAATTTGATGTTATGATTCCTACCTCCTTACCTACCTTATATTTTGTTATGATTCCTGCCTCCCTATTTATCAATATTTTGATGTTATGATTTTTTGCCTCCCTACCTACCTTATAGTTTGATGTCAAGATTCCTGCCTCCCTACCTACCTTATATTTTGATCCTATGATTAGCTGTGGCAGTTCAAATCTTTAAACTGGATGATCGAATTAGAGATTTTTTGTTTGTTTGTTGAAAGTTTCAGATAAATACTTACACTTTTTCCCGTATTCCGATACGTTTAGCATGTTTAATTACAAGTAGGCGTATGTTCAGCAGTTTACCACATGCAACTTTCTTAGATTTTGTAGGATTTGAATAATTTTAGAAAAAAAAATTACATTAGATTTAAATTATGTATAAGGATATGGTTTCGTAATGCCAAACAATATTTCCAATATGATGTTTCAAACTGTCAATTTACCACATTTGTTGAAAATCTACAATTTGTGTTTTTTTGTTTTGCTTACCTCAGCATTTGTCCAAGTTTCTTTCTCTGTAGCAAACACGTAACATCAATCCCGGAAGTGCATCCACCAATTTCTACACGCATCGTCTAATAAAACTTAATAAAACAGAATGTACATTTGAAGGTAATTTCTAAGGGGAATGTGATAACATTATTTGTTGTTGTTTTTTCTAACGTACAGTGGTATATACATGTATTTCATTCCATAACAAAAACGATTTAACAAATACATCATATAAATAAGTTTAAAGAGGTATGGACGAAGTGAACAGTGGTAATCTATGACTCATACAGGAAAATAAGGGTAAAAGGAAAGGGGGCAAAATTAAAGAGGACAGCATGTTACTTCAGTTTTTATAGGGGCTCGCTATGACAAGTCAAAAGTTTTCCGAGAAGTGGTTTGTAGAATGGTGTTGGTCTTTTTGGCGTTTTTCTTTTTTTTTTTTGCCATGTGAAATATTTGTATAGTAAGACCAAAAAGATTTTTGGCCATAGTTTTTTATTTTTGTATCTTTCTGCCTTTTTTGATAAATCTTGTTACTGCTGATCCCTTAGTTGTTACAAAACATCTGCTGCCTTGAATGTGTATCTCCAGACGGACGTTGATGTGTAATTTTTCATCCCACACTGACTGATGTGTGTTTCTGCTGTTTGAGTATTTCTGTCGAACAACAGTAGTTTAGTTATATTGTTTTATACATCTGTACAGTACACCGAAGGCAAACTATTTATATTTATTTTAGATATGTAATAAGAATGACAGACTTCTGATGTAAAATATTTATTCTTGATGTATCATTGATCTCAATGTGTATGTCGTATTCTTTTTAAACTCGCGAATCAGCTTTCTGTTTTAAACTAAACGCCATCTAAACTGAATCAATCTTAAGGACATTATTCCTTATTTTATATTCCTCTGCATCAAAACCAAAAATCTATTAATTAAACTATATAATGTTGAAGTTTTTTTTAAATTTACTCACGTGCAGACGAAAGTGAGAAGCCATACACACATATTCCGATCTTGACTAATTGCTACATTTTCAAATTTGTAAAGATAAATAAATACAGACAAGTTCAGTACTGTCAGTATATGGTATAAGTAATGATAAGACCATACATAATTATAATATTACCCGATGAATAATACCTGACCTAATGAGAAGTTATGAGGGTATTTTATTTATCAACATGAGAGGTATTTGTACTATGCTAAGTTATATGAAAGATTGAACAAATATGTATTCATTGTATAACAATTTAAAATATTATTGCAATTTTCCTGTAATATACTAACATCGAGTTGATCAAATAGTGCTATAAACAAATTTAAATAATTTTCGTTAGGGTGTCCCTTGCTGTTGTGAGGCGAAATTCATTTTTTTTTTTATTTAAGTGTGTTTATACCCACGTCATTTTAACTCTGATGTATAATTGTCTCATTGGTAATCATACCTCATCTCTGACACTAATCAAGCATAGACGTAGGTCTCGTCGCACATTGAAAAGAGTAGATTGACTCATACAGGAAAAAAGAGTGATGGGTAAGGAACAAAATTAAAGAGCACATCATGCCTTCTTCGGATTTTAATGCAGTCTTTTGGTCAAACAAATAAACGTTAAAAGGTCAAATAAAGTACAAAGTTGAAGTGCCTTAAGGATGTAAAATTCTGGAAGGTTTTCAAAACACAACTGAGAATCCATTCATGGAGTAGAACCTCAAATAGTTATCTTTACTTTCAACATTATATCTTACGCAGTTATACCATGTCTCAAGTTTGACTTAGTGTACGTCTATAATCATTTTTTTTAACTTTCAAAATACACATTTAAAAGTATAACAGCATATGTGTTCGTTCATAAATTAGTCTAATCCTCAAACAGAATGTTTTTAATACTCTGCTTATGGATGCAAATCAAAAAACGTGTGCTTAATATACTTTCAAAAATAATCAAATACTGACTCGAGTCTTTGTCACTTAACAATATTCTTGCTTGATGTAGAATCGCTAATGCTCATTCCTAATCATAAAGTAAGAAATTATCATTGTATCACTTATATAGTTGTGATGAAATCATTGTGAAATACTGATAAAGGTTAGCATAGATAAATTATACCAAAGAAGAAATGGAAAATAAAAAATGAAACGGAGGCAGTACTGGTTGGGATTCCCAAAAAGAGTGTACACCATAATACGTCAAATCTAAGGACATCACGAACAGTAGTCACGGTTACAATAACAGAGTTCTTTTTTCTGATTTGTTTATCGTCTTACCAAAAGCATAAACACCAATGAAATTAGAACTTGATAAAACTGAAAGCTTATCCAATTACAAGTGTGAAACAAATTAAGCTGGCAAAGATAACATTATCATATCTGGGTAATATTAGTTACATGGTGTGCTAGTGACCTAATACGATATATATATGGGGTCAGTAAATTCCATATGGGGTGAGACCGACTATATTGTGGTATTTAGACTAGTTGCCTATCAAAGTGATCAAGTCTTCAATACCGTTAAGTCCCGCCTACTAACACTATTTGGAATATACACGGTCTCCACGCGGTTGCTTTTAACTAATCATATTCCTAGAAATGTATAGGAGGTAAGATAAACATTATTAAGCTTTAATAGAAATGAAATACAAAGTAACCCTCTGAATAGATATAAAAAGATGTGGTATGAGAGCCAATGAGACAACTCTCCATCCAAATCACAATTTTTAAAAGTAAACCATTATAGGTCAAAGTACGGCCTTCAACTAAAAGCTTCTTGTGGAACAGGAATTTTCGCCAAAAATAATTTATTTCAACTTCCACCTCCCCTGTAGTTGATAAATCATTGATGGAATTCTCGCAATCAAACTCACCAGCTACACTATTGATTTTAAATATATTGTGTTCCAGAGAAAGTAAAAGCCGTGAAGCCCCCTAATGTTCTTGTACATATTTTACCGCAAGATATTTGAACAAGGAGAATGGTGGCATTTATTGAAAAGGAGACTTCCATTCACGAATTTGATCGCTTTTGGAAATATTATATGAAACCGCAATTCACTAAAAAATACCCATTAATATCAGTCAATCATTTATAAAAAAAATAATTGGAATATAATATCAAAGACTCATTGTATATGCCGAATAGCCCTTATAGTTATTTGTTTCAATCCGGATCAGTTTTGAAATTACACAACTTGTTTCATAATGTCACAAATCAGTTAAAATTTACTGGTCCCTGTTTAAACGATAGATTGATTGTACATAAAACATTTCAAAGAGACATGTTAAAACACTTC